TCTGCCTGTGGTGCTGGAATCCTATTTGGGCGCCGGTCTGCTGCTCTTCTGATCCAGCTCTCTGCTTATGGCCTGGGGGAGCAGTGGGAGATGTCCCAAGTGCTCAGGCCCCTGTATCCACGTGGGAGACCTGGAGGAAACTATTGGCTCCTGGCATTGAAATGGCATAGCTCCGGCCCTTGCAGCCATTTGGGGAGTGAACCAGCAGATGGAAGACCTCTCTCTTTGTCTTTCCCTCTCTCTGTCTGTAACTCTTAAAAAAAAAAAAGAAAAAAGAAAAAAAGAGCTAGGTGGTGACTTATTCTGAAAAAAGTAAAAAATGGTAGTTTCCATGCCATTGCAGAAAGAATCAAAAGTGACATTTTTCCAGTGATTTGCACACTGGTGTCTGATTTAGAAATTTGACAGCACTTAAGAGAAAAATCTCATATTCAAATGACTTATATATATATATATGTGTATATATATATATATGGTAAAGAGAAGAATTCACACACACATGAGGGAACTGTAGTTGGGAGAATGAGTGATAAAGATAAAGGAATACAAAGCTTTTGAATTAAATGCTGATTCTAGTCCTGGCTCTGTCCTCAACTTCTTATGTAATTCAGGATGCAATCTCTTAATTTTTCTGGGTCTCAGTTACACTGTAACAACTCAAGAACCGATAGAGATTAATGGCAGATTAACAAAGACTTAATAAAGATCAATGATGTCTAATCTTTATTTAAAATGCTTGATCATCTCTTCCAGAAGATGAGAAATTACTATAAGATTCACTGAATCATTATCCTTGTCACCATTATGTTTATCAGTGAAAACACCACACTGCCCAGATGGTCAATACATATGTGCTGATTCAACTTGTTGAAATGTTCCATGTGTAGGCAGCTGAAAAAGCTCCAATGTATCATATAAGGAATTCAAGCTGTCTACAACCTGTCCCCTGCTCTCCTTCTAGGTGCTGTGTCCTTTTATGCCTGAATCTGCAATGGTTACCATGATTGAGTTAAAGAAGGCTGCTTAAGGAAGTGCTTGCATGCTCCCTATGACGGTCCTGGATAATATTTTCTAGTTCTGTGTCATTAATGTGTTAATGTAAGTCCACTTATCTAATCTCACTGGTTTTGTGCTTAAAAGTAGACACTAATCCTAAGGGATGTTTTGATAGGGAGCAGTCCACAATAGGAACGCGTTTGTGCCAACTAGGAAAGATGGTTGAAGACCATGGATCTTGGATTGGACATGGAATCAAGGCAGTTACGATGGTGGTATGACTCTTGGTCAAGCCTGAAGTAATAAAACACTGGAACAAAAGATGTAGGATTTCTTCATATAGTTTTCAATTTTTTTCAGGAAATTAGGCCTATGTGCTAAATCAAACTTTCTATGAGACTTAGAATGTCGCAACTCAAAGTCTAATTTCTTTACATTACATTAGGCCTATGTGCTAAATCAAACTTTCTATGAGACTTAGAATGTCGCAACTCAAAGTCTAATTTCTTTACATTACAGAATGAGGAAATGAAAGACTGAGGCACAGAGATAGAAGGGACATTCACATGGTCACACTCTTATTTAGTGATAAGATCAAGACCAGACATGAGGAGTCTTGTATTTCTGACTAGTGTTATTTTCCATATATCCTGTCTTCTCTTGGTCTAAGTGATCTGTCTTAGAAGTTCAAAGAGTTAGAAGTAAAACAGAGCAATTTTAATTTATAAAGATGTTCTAGAAAAATATTGATGAAGTGACCCCTGCAGACTAGAATCCAATTTTGGTACATTGCCTAATTTCTGCCCATTAAATATAATAAATGAAATTATAAAAACTAAAAACTGCTTAAAAATATTCAACAATTCATTGGACTCTGCTTCTAGCCAGCTAGATTTGTGGGATATTCATGATTAATCTATGACCTTGCTCAGCCACTGAACTCTGTCCCTGTGGACTATTACTTCAGTTTGTCCCCATATTTCTTCCTCACTCAGGTGGTGCTTGGGCAGTTATGGTTCTACTTCCACATACAACAAACCACCACCCAGGATTATAAATTTGTCAGTTTATAGTTTCCTACCTGGGCTTTCTTTTCTAGCTTACATGGAAAACTGATTTGGATTCTGGGGCTCTGGGAATACCCTTTAGGTACTCATTCTCTTCTCAGATGTTTCTCTCTCTTTGTTACCCTCTTTCAAAGACAGAATAATTTTTTAAACAAAACCTTACTCTTATCATAATTTTTCTCCCTTAGTTCTTTTGAAATATTTATTGAGAAATTCTTATGTCTAGAACCCTACCTATTAAGTATCAGGGGCAATATGAAATGAATATTTGTTTAGCACCTATTGTATTCCAAACCCTGTCTTACTGGACTTTACTTGAGATATTTCACATAATCTTAACATTGTACTCCAAGATAATTTCTTTGCATTTCTTTTTTACGATTTTATTTATTTGAGAGGTAGAATTACAGACAGAGAGAGGGAGAGCCAGAGAGAAATATCTTCCAGATATCTTCCAGATATCAGCAGAGCTGGGCTGATCTGAAGCCAGCAGCCAGGAGCCAGGAGCCAGGAGCCAGGAGCTTCAGATGGGTCTTCCACACGTGTGCAGGGGCCCAAGGACTTGGGCCATTTTCTACTGCTTTCCCAGGGCACAGCAGAGAACTGGATCAGAAGAGGAGCAGCCAGGACAGGAACCAGTATCCATATAGGATGCCGGTTCCACAGCCAGAGGCTTAGCCCACTACACCACAGCGTCAGCCCAGCAAAAGTTGTTACTTTTTAAAGATTTATTTATGGAACCAGCATTGTGGTGTAGCAGGTTAAGCCACTACCTGCAGCACCAGTATCCCATTTGGGCGCTGATTTCAATCTCATCTGCTTTACTTCTGATCCAGCTCTCTGTTAACGCACCTGGGAAAGCAATGGAGGAGAGCCCAAGTGCTTCGATCAAAGATACCCCCCTCACACTGCCACCCGGTAACTCTGCCTTTCAAATAAATAAATAAGTGAGTAAACAAATAAATCTGTATTGAATTTTAGATTTATTTTAGTTTTTGAAAGGGAGAGAGAGAGAGAGAGTTTGGTTCACTCCCCAAATGGCTATAAGGACCAGGCCAAAGTTAGGAGCCAGGAGCTTCTGCTTTTTCTGGATCTCCCATGTGGGTTCAGCAGCCCAAGCTCTTGGGCCATCTTCTGCTGCTTTCCCAGGCACGTTAGTACGTAGCTGGATTGGAAGTGGAGCAGCTAGGACTCCAACTAGCATCCACATGATATGCTGGTGGTGCAGGCAGTAGCTTAACCTGCTGTGCCACAATACCAGCCCCTTAGTAGTCGATATCTATTTTATTCAGTTTACAAGAGGTTGTAACTGGCAGGATCAGGTGGAGGAGGCAGGAATAAGGGAAAGAGGGAATGAAATTGAATCAACTGTTTCAAGGTCTGCAACTGGAGGTGGCATTTGAACTCAAGTCTCTTTCCCAGCTCCCAATACACGCTGATTTAGATTCTGGGCTCTGGGAATGCCTTTTAGGTACTCTTACCCTTGTCAAATGTTTCTCTCACTTTGTTACCCTTTTTGAAAAACAAAATTACTTTAAAAGAACTTTAGTCTATTGTATCCTCATAACTACTTTTTCTACTCAAGTCTACATAAGAAACATCTTGTTAAAGGGATGAACTTGAAGCAAATTTGTGTAGGTGGTAGGTTGCCTTCATTCTTATCTTTGCTGCGCTATACTCTCCTTTTTAGAATCCTTTGTCAACACTTAAAATGTAATCTGGCTGTTCAGGTAATCTTATTCTATATCACGCTAAAAGCTACTCTCTTTGTTCCTTTACTTCCCTCCTTCTTTCAGAAAAAAAGTATCTGTTTTTGTATTTTCATGTTTTTAAAAAGGAAAGTGAGTTTTATATTTGCCAGTACACTTCCCCAAATGCCTTCAATAGCCTTGGATTGGCCAAGACAAAGCCAGGGGCCTGGGACACCCATCTGGGTGTCCCAAGTCTGTGAACTCTGCGTCTCCAACATATGTGACAGGCACCTGCAGGACTGAGTCACCACCTGCTTCGTCTCAGGATGTGCAAGCAGGGTGGATAGAAGCAGATTCTTGGAGACTTGAATCAGGTACTCAGAAAGGGAATGCAAGTGTCCTGGGCAGTGACTTAACTGCTGTGCCAAATGTTTGTCCTTGTCCATTCCACTTCCTAAAGTGAAACAGGGCTCATCTGATTTATTGATTATAATTAATGGGCTGATGTGTGGCCCTTCCTTGCAGGATTTTCACTTAATTAGGAAGTTACTGGAGACTCAATTTCTTAAAAACTGTATCTATAATAGGACATTTCATGCAAGGTGGTAAGTCAGAGCAAAAGATCATTGAGCAAAGCAGAGCAGAGAGAAGTGGGGTGTGATTTTTAGTGCCCCTAAATCATTCTACGTAGGAAGTCATACACCAGCATCGCAAAGGTACATGTAAGGCAGTTTTGTGTAGAAATCGATCATTCTCCCAGCACCCCTTGTCCTGATAATCAATGGTCTGCTAGTTCTCCCTTCATGTGTATTTACTAATTTCTGAAACAAACAGTTGTCATGAGAACTCCTTAGAAAAGGCCTCTGACTGACTGAGCAAAGACAGCTTCTACTCTTCAACTCTGTTGTGAGTTTGACTAGAGGCTGTGGGATTTTTCTAGGATAGCTCATCATAGTTAAGATCTCCTTGTGACCTAGGAGTGACTTGTGAACACTGCTACTGACATTCCTACCTTGTCTCGCCCTTCCCAAAGGCTGCCAGGTCAAAAAGAGATGTCAGATAGTAAAGGGATTCCCACTCATTCGACTTTGCTACCACCGACAGCTAAGTGTAACTGCCTTCATACTCTCCTCTGCCATAGTAATCCATTTCTAGTGTCTCAGCGTCTATTTGCTAAAATTTTCTAGCCCTCTGTGAGCATCTTCTCGGGGTTACACTTGATCACTGCCTTTCTATATTCTTTCAGGTATGAATGAATGAATGCAGCCAGATTCCCTACTGCTTCCTCAGGAGACTACACTGTTCTGATTAAGGAGTTCCACCAGAACTGGAGAAAACAGCAGGTACTCAACTATGATCTTGACTTATTTTTTTGTATGATTCCTAAAAGAATGTTCTTGTATTCTATGGGCACTGGACAGGTAATAAGAAATCCTCACTAGCCACCTGCTACACATTTGCTGGTATAATTGGTAGATCACCAGGTAATGACCAGATTCTGGCAGTTCAGATATGTGATCTTACAGAATGCAAAAGGCTGCAGTTTCTATAGTATTTGGTGAAATGCTCCATTCTTTTTAACAGTGCTCTGTTAAGTTATGCTGGAGTCTTGTGCAAAATAAGTCATGTTGATCCTGTATTTATTTATAATTTTGATATTGTGTTCATTATGGATATTTGCATTCATTTTGAATTTTTTGGAAGAAAATTGCATTGAAATATTTATCTTTATTATTGTGGGTTTTTTGTTTTTTTGCAGTTCCTTAAATTTTTGGTTCAAGGAGATTATCTCACCAAGCTTTGCCTAGTTCTGCTCCTGCTTTTCAAAGGGCTGTTTGACCTATTACTTAGGGTTCAAAAGGAAAACTAAGAAACCAGGATACCTAGCCTTTGTTCCCATTTTGTCTATGTACAGTTTACATAGATGCTTTTGATGTTAAACTTTTAAGATTATCTCATTTTATTCTATTTCACACAACACATATTGGTGGTTCTACATATATGTAATAAAATAATGTGTGTGTATGCATGTGTATGCCTGTGTGTGTGGAGAGAAGTGGGATGCCATTTACCTACAAGAAAAATTGTTGTTGCTATAGGTGAATCATGTGAATGTTAGACAGATGGGTAGATATCATGTTAGGGATCTATTTGGAAGGCAGCAATTTCTGAGTGTTATTTTTGGCTCCTTTGTATGTTCAAATAGCAGCCTAGACATCTAATCATTGCAATGGGATGGGCCTGATTATTAAGACTAGTTTTAAAAATTGTGAATAAAATGACTGCACAGAGCTTAAACATGGGAGAGAAAGATTGTATCCATAGTCCCTAACCAGGAAGTCAGGGCGCTACTAATACAAATCTATTAGAGCACATATCCTCTACATGTGAACGTAATGTATGGATTATGAGCATCCTGAAACTACTCCTTTCTTTCTATTTGCTTCCTCATAAAAGGACAAAGAGACTCTGCTCAAGACAACTTGAGCCTTCCCCCAATGTAATCATAATAAATACAGTTAAAAGCTATATGAGATGGAATAAAAAATCAGGCATCTGTCCAAAAGTTTTATGTTTATAATACTCATATGTGAGAGTACTTTATAAAAGTTCATGGAAAAGTAGAATTAACATGCAATTTTATTTTTTCACAAAAGTAATTTTAAACCCATGCATAGCTTTTAATAACATGTATTTTCTATAAATTTTTTGTAAACTTATATACTTGGATTTCAACATATTTTACACCAAAACTAGCATATTTTAAAATCCCATTTTCCATAATTTTTCCTTGTATTAGTTACTCATGATAGGTAGAGGTGCCTTCACAGCCAGTGGCACACTTCTATTGTCGAAAGTAATCATTGGTTGACTCAAATGCAGTACTCTGGTGTTAGAGGTTTTAACTGATGAACATGCTGGTTCAAATTCACTGGGGGAAATTCAAGTGGGATTTTGTTTTTTAATATCCATGAGATGGATAACCTTGAAGAAAAAGGGAGAGCAACACCCAACTACTACTACTAGCAAGCAAACCCAAGCCAAACAAACAAAAGCCAACAAAATCTTTTATTAATATATGTGTAACTACATCTATGTAAATTACTTAAACTATTTCCTCCTGGAGACATTAGCCAGCATTTGTTTTGTGATCATAGTATTTGCGTATGCATACAGTTATTTTATATTATTTAAAATGCTAAGAATTCATTTATTTTATTAAATATATTCATATAGATCTCACTATAAAACCTTGGATATATTAGCTCACTACGTACTCACAGAGATACATGCTATTATCATTTCACCTATAATATGGGATAATTGAGTCATGGAAATGTTTGAATAACTTATTCAAAGTCACATAGCTAAAAATGGACAGAGCCAAGATTTGAATCTTGAAAGACTAGTTCCAGAGTCTAGGCTCTTACTCTGTAACAGTGATGCCTGGTTGTTTCTAAAATATGGGTATGTGTGAATGGGAGGGGGGAAGAAAACTGTGAAGAAAAAAAATCTAGACTTAATTTCCAGTAGATAAAGGGGAGAAATTATTGCAAAGGTGACCTTTGTGAGCTCCAAATGCTTTTCAGTGGTCAATATCAATGATTTAAACAATTGAACTAAATTACTGATTTTGGGGTTTTTTTTTTTTCCATGTCTGTAGGAAATCAGGATTGATTTTTTTTTTTTTTTTGGTTTTTGAATCTTGAATAGTTTTATATGCCATACTATAAAGATTATGCAAAATTGGATAATTGAAAAGAGTTGTTAAAAAACATGCAGGGACTCTTGTGTTGTCCATTTAACAGATGTTGTCTGAAGATCTACAAACATGCAGGATGGTTTGCGTTGTTCATTTAGCGGATAGTTTCTAAAGATCTACTAATGGACGTTTAGTAAAGGTCCATTCCAAGTGTGGGAGACACAAATATGAATAAGGCAGAGCCCTTACTCTCAAAGAGTTTACAATGTATAGGTTGTACAGACAACTACACTATTAGGCAGGATGAATATTATCAGACTATAATAGTGATAAGCAACATGATATGGGGATTCAAAGAAATGAATGCTAATTCCAATTTGAATAATTAAAGGAAGCAGAAGGGAGATCATCAAAATTCTCCTTTTAATCTTTTTCTGTCTATCAAAGGTAAATGTGGTGGGCTAGGACATAAAGACATTTAAGCTGGGATTAAAGATGGAGACATCAAGGTATATGCTGTGTGCTAGGACAGACTGACACAGTAAAAGCCTATACAGAACATCTGTAAGGGTATAATAAGAGGTCAGGATAGAAAGGCAGCCTAGGGCTTTAAATATTTGATTGTTTAGGTCACTGCAATGCGGACACTTGAAGGGTTTTCACAACTGCATGGGATGCTTCAATCTTTGATAAAGACAAATGCAGAAATATTTCAGTCTAAAATAAGAAAGTGATGCTATTTAACACAATAAAAAGGAAGTAAGGATATTGCTTATATCAAAATGTTTTAAGCAGAGATAAAATATGAATGCTTGTTCCTCCTTCTGAAATATTGTTTAGTGCTACTGATATTATAGAGGAAAGGTACAAAAAGTGCATTTTTCAGTAGGGATTCCTATTTTGTTTGTTTACTCATATTAAGTATACAATGATACTCTGTATTTTGAATTAACCTAGAAAAAAACCTCATAGTCTTTCAGTAAGAACATCTGCAAAAGATTGAGAAGAAAAGCTTTTTCTGAGCTTTGGAGATACTTTTTGATTGAAACTACAGACTTTAAGAAAAATAGCAGCCAATATATTTTTGTTTTTAAAGCCAAGGAATAATAACACATAACATTAATCTATTGCTTCTTCCTTCCTTAGATCCCAATCGTAAGTGTATTATTTTTCACTAAGTAAAATAAGGCGTACTCAAAAATCAAATATTTCAAATAATGACACTCACTGAAAATTTATTTAGTGATATAAAATTATGCAATGACAAAAGTATATACAATTCAAGTGAAATATTGCATATGAATTAAGCTCCATAGGCTGACCTGATACTAGTCTAGACTTGGGATGGATTCTGTGATCCTTCATAACACTTTATCCCTATCCTAGAAGACAGAAAAATTCCCTGGTCTTTAGGAATGTGGTACCTGAAAGATTATTGTGGGGAGAATGCAAGTCATATAAAATGAGACAGTCTGATATAATTTTTACCACTCCTTTGTGTGTGTGTGTGTGTGTGTATGATGCCATCTCACACGAACGTGACAAAAACCCTGATGAAGTATTGTGATTTCATGTGATGCTTGATGTTTCATACTTGGAGAATCCTTATTTCAAATTTGAGGTATAGTGACCTCCAAGCAAATTGGTTATTAACTGGGTTCTTGGATCATGGATAAAACAGAGTAACCACAAAAGTTTTTTAAGTTAATCCAGGATTTTCCACATCTCACTCTTGTGCCCTCTTTTGGAGATGGCTTCAAAGCAATGGACAACCACTTCTCTAAAACTTTGCAGTTATAATTCTGTTGTTAAATGTGGCGGTTTACACAGGAAGAAGAGGTTGAGTGGGAGATTCACTAGCCATGATGTACAATCTTCTCTGTTTCCACCTGAGTTGGGGGAAGGGGAGGGGCAGATACCAGAGTTGCCATGGTGGGTGGAAGATTAGTTAAGCAGGCCATCCATATTCATTTTAATGACACCTCTGTGTCAGGAACTAGCAAGACATTTTTAAGAACCAAGAGTTGCCAAGACTGTTCGCTCCTACTGATCAGAAAGGTTATGCTGTTGGAAGAGGTGTAGGAACGCAATACTGGATCCTGACATATAATCTGTGCTCAAGGATTTTAGAGGCTTATTTTCCGAAGTGAGAGACAAAGCAAACTCTAGATAAATTTTGCCTAAATGATGGAATCCACTCTCAAAGCAAAAAAAAAAAAAAAATGGTAGAGAATCAAGACATTATCTATTAGAATCCTGTTCAGTTGGAGCACTGGGGGTGGGGTTGGGGTGCTTCAAACATCAAAAAAAAAAAAGACAGATGCAGCAAAAGACAAAACTTAATGAGAAACTTATATTCAAATATCTGAGGTAGCAATGTTCAGTGTCTTGTATCTCTCTGCCATACCTTCCTGAAACTCTAATTCAAGGAAAGGATGTCATTTAAAATGTAAGGATAAAATTTTCATATTTTAGATTAATCCCCTAGCTCTTTTGATGCCAAGTGTTCCATGGGCTTTTTCTAATTATTAAAAACTAAATGATTTATTTTCTTCACTTATATTTCAATATTTAATATGTTACACTTTAAATCATTTACCATGAGGATTCTTTCTGAAGTTTTTGAGAACCTCTGTGCCT